CTTGAAAATTAAGAAGTTAAACGGGGCAAAGCCCGCGGGTTACAGCTAGTAAAATTATAAATGTCTCAAATTAAATTTTAGATTTTTTAAACCTATCCAAACTAACCAATCTTGCTGATAATGAAAAAGTCGAATGAACGTTTACTAATATAAAAAAAATTCTGTTCATAAAATAAAATTATAAATGTCTTAAATTTTAACGTTCCGTCGTTCCGTTCGGGAAGGTTTCGTCTTCAAAATAGTAGGCCTACGGTACTAAACTTGTCTGTCATTGTCACCCAGTGAGAAAAAAAATGAGGAGCAGTCTCTGTCTGTAAGGTCTAGTTACAGCATAGTGGGTAAAATTCTTACCGCGAACTTTTGAGTTGCACAACCTGAGTTGTGGAGTTGAATAAATCAAAGATGGAATTAAACGCATCTTATTTGCGATTGTGAATTTAATCAGAACAAATTAAATTATAACCTAGAGTGTACTAGTGTACTGGTTGGAATTTTACCCCCTGTCAAGATATAGAATTTGGCGAGGATAAATATTTTTGTAAGTAAAGGTGTTTTTATAGAAAGACGTCCACTATTATTTACCGCTGTTTATTAAAGGCAAATTAAATTTGTAAACAAAATATCAAAATAATTCAAAACACGTATAAACTTAAATGTCTCTACTGTTTCCATAAAAAAAATCCCTAAAACAATAATTAATTGTGATAGCCTTAAGACTGGAGTCTGCAGGAGTCAATAGTTTTGCATTGTTGTTGACCATCGGATCAGATTCCAGGTTATGGTCCAGCGATTGCGGTATGGTCCAGCGATTGCAGCACAAAGAGGTAAGTATAAACCAAAAGTGACACATTGGAAAAGCGAGTTTAGCTACATCTGTAAGTTAAAGATCTTCCAAGATCGCAGCAACACATCCACGATCACCCACTGCAGTTGTGATTTTTTACTTTGCACTTTACACGAATGTCCTTCTTCAAGTGTCAATGAGTGTAAACGTTTTTTGTAAGCTATTGGTGACGATGATTAAAAAATGTAAGTTTCCCAGCACTATACAACACTGATTCACGGTCTTTTCCCCGGTTATCAAAACTCAACAACAATCGTTGAACTTGAAATTAATTAAACCGGTTAAGGTACAACGTTTTTAATCTCACTTGGTTTGGATGTGCTTATAAAACTTAATCGGAAATGGTTGCGGTATTTGTAAACAGTATTTAATGTAAACATATCAGTGACAGCTAGCTAGAAGTGAGAACTAATCCAAAGAGCTGATCATTATTTCATAAAATGTAATAGTAAACATTGGAAGAAAATTTGACAAAAATCGAACAAAATTGGGGCTTTGATGGTTCTATAGTTTGTCTTCAAAGAAGAGAGGCCATGTTTTTATAGCCAAAGACACTCTCACCAATCCAGTAAATACAGAAAAATGATTTGAACCTTGATCGGTACTCTAGTTTTTTAGGAGTAGGCCGCGTAAAATGACATTTTGGCGTCACAGACAGAATGACAGAAAGACAAAGAGACAGACAGAAATTGAGATAAGACTCGTTTCGGCTTTCGCAGGCTATGAAACGTAAAAATAACCAAAAAATGCATGATTCTACTCAATGTACAGACAAAACTGTAATTTTATTTATATAGATGATAAGACCTTTCAAATAAGATGTCATACGTCAAAATCGGTTACGCGGTTTCCGTGATTGTTATTATAATTGGCTGAGCGGCCATTTTGATGACGTCACTGCCGTGACCTTATTATTTTAAAGCTTGCCTCTCGGTTGATTTTCACTCTTTTACATGTATTTAGCCGATTCCCAAAGTATGGTGCTGGTGTCCGGAAGTGAAAGATTTTTACACTTGTTCCACGCACTATGAAGCAAAGGTTTATAGACCAGCTTTCTCATTATTTTAATACTTAATGTTGGTTTCCATTAAAACGCAAGTTGAAAATATCGATAAAATAAAGAAACTAAATTGATTAGGCCTACTAATTTCCCTGTCAATCACTTGCAAGCATTCAATAGCTTCTCTCGTCACCGGTAACGTTTAAACATCGTCTGCATCTAGCGATTTTATTTTATCTGACAGTAATCATAGAGTATCAAATGAAGGAAATGAGAGCCAAAAATGTGGATAACACTCAGATAATGGCCTTCATGTCCACGCAACGTTGTAATAGGTAATGAAACGGCTGCGACCAGCTGTATGAAGCCAAGAAAGTAGGCCTAATGTTCTTGAAAATTTTAGTTTGAAAGAGGTTGTTTCACGTAAGGATGTGATAAAAATCACTATCTCAATCAATGTTAATGTAGCGAGAAAAGTAGCTAAAATTCCGCTACAACTACTTTAAAAATGTAGCTAGTTACGGCTAAAGCTACAAAATCTTAAAAGTAGTGTAGCTACAGCTAACGCTACATAAAAAGTAGCGCGCTACTGTAGCGTCACTACTTGTAGCGCGCTACTTCCCAACACTGCTAATAAAAGCACATTGTTTTTTGTTGTTCAGTTGGAATACTGGAGTGCGGCAAAGACATGAGTGCGTCAAAAGTAAAATGAGTGTGGCAAAAGTAAGTAAATGCAGCAATTAGCTACTTTGAGTGCTATAATCAGTACAAAAAAAGCCCACTTTGTCAGGTAACTGTAGAAAAATATAATTTCTGATTCGAGCACACACTTTGTGAGTGGCCTATGTCCTTTTTGGATGAAATAATTGTCTAACAGCTGGTCCAAATGGATAGAATGTTTACATCAGAGCCCATAAATAAATTATAATACAATTCTACTAGAAATATCTTTGATTTTTTCCATCATGCGTTTTTACACTTAATATTCTTAAAAATGGTTAAAAGGTTTTATATTTATACATCTAAAAACTGCAAGCACTTTAGATAGGTCAAGACCCCCCACCCTTCCATCAAATATGCTATACATTTATAGCTGTCCCGATTCAAATAACAAACAAAAATCCTTAACGTATTGAAATAAGAGACATGATTCGTTTATTTTGTTTTTTTTTAGAATGAATGAACTTATTATTTTTAATTTAATTTATTCAACCAATTTCAGAAAAGCCTTTAGTAATGGATAATATTTTCCAATACTGTAGGCCTACTGTTGGATGTGTGTTTGGTATGGTTCTTTTGCCACCTTACATCACAAACTAAGGAGTTGGAATGCTCAGTTACGATTTTTTTGAAAAGGCACCATGTCAAAATATTGTTATCTAATATCTTACATTAAGTTTAAGCACGTCTTCTTGGTATTCCAAGAGGCTCTCATTTAAGCATATGTGCCAAATTTTGAGATTAATGTTTGTTTAACTAAAACTCACTGAAAAAGCCTTTCATGATCTAACTGTATGTGACATTTTTAATTATTTTTGGCTATGCAAAGATCCAAGAGATCGTTGTGCAAAAAAAAATTAAAAATTGCTTGGTCCATACTATTATATAAAAATACTGTTTTGAGAATCTCTGATTCTTTTAAATACTACTCTTTAAAAATAGAGAAATATATTAATTTTGTATGGTTAGGCCTACAATACTAAATACTATAAAAAAATACAAATTACCCTTACAACACTTGTTCCAAAAGCAATGAACATTAGAATTTATTTTTCTTAAATCTGGTCTTCAAGCTACCGTAAAACATAAAACAAATACTATTTTCTTTAACAAAATTTAAAACTTATGTAAAGGCTTGGATTGGAGAAGGTGTTTTACTCTTTAGGAGATTGTTGGGAAAATCAATAATGATATTCTTTTGTTATACCTATTTAACAAATGCTGTACTGTTTTATGATGTTGTTGTTACAGTCGAAGCGAGGTTCGAAGGTTGGTACGAACCTCTGTAAAATGAATTATGTAAAACGAAGGTGAATTTGTTTAGACCCCCTTGAAACTTTCATAAAGGTCAATGGTAAAACACCTTTATACAACGTAGTAATTAGGTCGAAAACCTCCATAAGACGAATTTGTTTGTGACATGGGCTAGGACTAATTAACCTCTATGCAACGAATTTTCTTAGCACAAAACCTCTACAAGACGAATGCAACCTCTATAAGATGAATTTCTCATGATATTAGCTTCCGTTTGTTTTTAACACTACTGTACGTACAGTACTATGGAGTACGTAGTTTACAAAACAAACCGAAGCTTTTCTAAACATGAACCCCACTCATCCCTCTTCCTTTTTCAATCAGTGTTTGGCACGAGGAGAAACCTCTATAAGACAACTAAGCAGTAAATAACCTCGATAAAACAAACCCCCTTATTAAGAATACCTCGATAATACGAATTTCCCCCCTACCCCTTGAAATTCATCTTATAGAGGTTCGACTGAATTACTATTACTTTTACAATAATTAAAATACAGTAATTGTTATTGTGCTTACAAAATCTGAAGCCTTGATTAAACCAAGTTAACTATTCACTTGCTATTTATTTATGACCAATAAGTCATATTGATGCACATATTTGATGTATTATTAAATTATTTTTTAGTAAATAAACCCTAGATAATATGTTATCTTCCTTCTTCACTAATAAGTCAAGTCTTTTTGGAGGATTTACTCATCGTGATGACTTTCTACTATCTACGTCTTTAACTCCATTTCCAGCTTTTACACACGAACCTACCGATTGATAACAATAAAATTCATGTATGCTTACAACTCATTGTTGTACGTCCATAAGAATAATTTGAATCTGCCTAAAAACCTCTAAATCTCTTCAATTCTTGGTAATAAACCTTCCTCCACTAAACCAGAAAAATAGTCAGTACCATGATCTTTAATAAAAATATTATTTTAACATTTTCCCACTAAAAATGTCATACCAATTAACTGTGTAGAATAATTTAAAATAAATCACAATCCATAAAACCTTGACACTACTATGATCATCTCAAACTAAAACAGTATTTTTGTAATTTCAACCGTTATCTAAATTAGTCATAGTTAAAACATTATTATCCCTTAGACAAAACTCCCTCTACGTACCAGGACTGGAGAGTACATGATGGTAGATTCACTATCACTGATGAACCTGAGGAGTTGTTGCTATATATACAGAAGATTGTCAATGAGCTGGTTTTTAACCTCCAGAAGGCCTTGGGCAGAAGACAGCATCCTGGTGGAGGATACTTCAGACAGACATCAAAGAGATGGGACGTCAAATCTCAAATGAATACCTTTAGTCTCAATGGCTACTGATCATAAAAAATGTGAGTCAAGATACTTAAGTGTTTGTTGGAAGGCTGAAATATAGGGTCCATATTTATAATGTTTTGTATTTTTGTTAACTCTATTAGGAATATTAGTAACTACACTTATGTAACTATATTAGTAACTTGTGAGTGAGTGTTTATTTTTTGTATATCTACAACTGTGGAGTGTAAAATATATTTGGAAGGGAACGGTCCAAACCCTGGTCTTGTCTAAAGGCAATCTTTTGTTGAATTGCATCATTGAGTGGTTGCCCAATAACAAATGGCATCGGTGTACAGAATTGATCTTATACAGGGATATTTTATTCTTAAAATAAAATATTTATTTTATTTTATGTTACATAGACATAGCCTGTAACAATGCTGTTGTTGATTGGCCAAATAAATTCATTGTATTCATTGTATTCATTGTATCTTGCTTGGAATCGAACCAGCAAACTTCAGATCTGAAGGTCAGCACTGTAACCACTCGGCTATGTACAATTTAGCTTAACTCAAAACGTATCTTTCAACTTTGCATGTGTTCCCAAACGGGACACGGTGTCAAAGATTTTAATTTCGGTGCCATTCGGTACTACATACTACTTTTATTTTGCTCCTTTAATTAGAGTAGTTAAATGTATTGATTGGTTAGAGTGTCAAAGAGCAAGCAACGACGCTCAATAGCTTTGTGATGGGAATGGTTCAATGTTTCTGCAGGCACAGGGAATAAATTGTTCATTAACACTGATGGTACTAAGTGGCACGTAGCAACGATAAAGGAGTGTGACTTGTTGATTTACTCAACGCATAATATGAAATATCATTAATTGAAAGTTAATTAATTGAACTTTGATTACATCAGCATAGTATGTATTAACGTTAAAAGCTAAACTGTATGCCTACCATCCTAAATATCGTTTTTCATTAGTGGATATTAGACGATGTTTTATATTCCGATATTTTCAGACTTCAAAGCTGCCCAATAATTATACATTTTTTCTATTGATTTCGTCCAAGTTTAAGGTTGATTCGTACTGTTACTTAAATTTAATAGCTTCGAGTGTTGCCTTAAATTGTCTCCAAGTAAAGCTAAAGAAATTTATATATTTATCATCCTTCTATAAATGTACCACAAAATGCCCATTACCTCATAAAATATCGCCAAAACATAAAATATTCACCGATAAATGAGTGAATATTACTCTAAAGTCTTTTGTAAAACATTCTAATTAGGAGAGTGGCCACAAGTAAATTGTTGAGATAGTAGACAAGTTACTCGTTCTTTACTATGATGGCAGCAACAACACAAAACTGCAATAAGTGGTGTCTTAGTTTTTGTTGCTTAGGTATTAAGATCATGATAAAATGCTACGATACTTAAAAAAAAATCTTCACTTCGTAAAACAAATTTTATGACAAGTTTACCCCTTGCACTATGAGTTTTAATTCAATTCAAATGGGAACTGCAAACGCCATTTGAATGTAAAAAGCATTAAAGTAAGTTGAGGGTGAAGTCATCATTATAAAAGCAAAGTGCAGTTTTAGAACTCTCTTTGAATCTTTCCCTAAGGAGTGTTACTAAGAGCATCGGTTTGCAATCTTCGATTTCTTCTACGCTGACTTGATTGTAGCTGACGTGACTTTAGATTATAGTTGACAGCTCAACTGCGCACTGTTAGTTACTTCGACGGTTGCCAGTAGTACTAATTTTTTTTGTACGTACAGTGACTTTTGATATTTATTATCATCAAAAGGTATTTCTTTGTAATTGTTTTACCAACTTTGAACTATTTCAACTTCAACCAAGCTAAACAATCTATGCATGAACAACTATTGTTTGTCCTATCATTATAGAACAAAGAGTAAAGAACGCGTTGTAAATAATTTCATGGAGAAACTGGAGAATCATTTATTGCTATTAAATTATTATCGCTATTATAATAATGCCTACTGGACCTAAATTATACTTGGATTCAATGATTGGACGAGAAAAAAACATTCTGCATTATCCATGGTCAATGACATTTCTGCTCAAATGTTGCCGGTCACGAATCTTTTTACAACATATCAATTTAATAGATTAATCCCCTCGTTCTATGTGACACATTATCTGAACGTAGTTAACCAATTATTCGACGTCACGCAACGTTGAAGCAATTTACATAATTTATGTTTATCGGTTCAATGCCACTTTGTTCTGTAGCAATTAGTCTGCTAAAGTTTACTTTAGACAATTACTGAAACAAGTTAAACACATGTTGTTTGGTGTAATTGGATTCTACTTGTTAGTGTAAAATTGATTCTGTTCTATTATTCTAAGTATACAATTTTAAGTAAAATTATGTGGATAGGCCTAATCATTACGTGGTAATCCTTAGCTTTTATAAACTAATTATTCTTTCGTCGGAAGAGAAATATTAGGAGTTGTAGTATTTAGTAAAAAAAAATCGAATAAAATAACAAAAAAACAACAAAAAAAAAACAACAAATGGTTGGGGAGTGAGCTGGTCTAGTGGAATAGCGCGGGACTTTTGTCCCTGAGGTCCCGAGTTCAAATCCTCCCAATTCACCAATGGATTTTATCTAAGTGATAAATCCGCAACCCCTAGGTTTAGCCTAAGTAATGTGAAAAAAAAACATCACGGGCTCGTGCCTAGCATCTTAGGAAAAATTAAAACTGGCGTGGTTCGCAACCTACCGTTACTATGAAAGAAAAGATTACAGTAATTCGTTTAGTGGCAGGCAAATACTTTTTCACTTATTAAAATAGTCTTAAATGGACAGACTGTCCACAGATACTTAGTCCTAAATGAGTAAAAGGGCCCCATAGGTGGAATTACGGTTTCAACTAATACATAAAGCTAGATATTAGTTTTAGTGAAATACAACATAGACAAAACAGAATAACAAAACAGAATAGTTTCATAAAAATAACCAAAATATTACAAAATTGAATTTATAACTTCATTTGAACTAAAAAAACTCAAAAAAATCAGTAACTTGTATTATCTACTAAACAAATTTGTATCCATAGGCCTAATAGTTTATGGACCTGAAAGCAGCTCTAAGCTCAACCTAAATCCATTTTAGGCCACAAAGCCATGTATCACAATTACCCTCGTTACAACACGACCCCTAATTATCCCCCACAGTTTGGGGGGGGGGGGGTAATATGTACCTAGGTTGTTTGTGTTGTGTGAAGATATTTCTGTACCTAAACCATGTCACTAGGTAGTGCATCAAACAGTTCTTGATGAGCCAGAGTAACCAATTACTAATTATTCTAAACGTAATAGACAACAAAGCAACAGCCAACAATGCTGTTGGTCGATTATGGATCAATCAAATTAGTTTTGATGTGTATTTATGTTTGAATGTTTAAGTGACTTTGAATTTTTTTCTACCAACTTAAAACTAATACAGTACATCTATATAATTTATCAACCGTCGCACACACTTTAAATTTATAATTTACAAAACAATGTATTTCACACATTAATTTAAGCTTCAGCAATAGTGTGAGATGTTTACTCCCTTAATCCAAAATCAATGGTTGGAGAAACTTTTAAAATAATATCAAAAACAGCATTCAGTGATACGCTACCTCCTCAGGGGGGCGGCCCGCTAGTAGTCAAGAGAAAATATTAAATGTAAGCTAGGTCGATAAGTACATCAAATTAAAGGTCTATGTTAGTTAAATACATTGGCGCAAACCCAAAATAAAATAGACAGCCGAGTCAAAAATGGCATCAATTCAAAGATTACTTGAATTTGCAATTTTGAATCATTGTACGGCTGCCATTATGGTTAAAAGACTCAGTTGGTCTTTTGAGCTCAAATTCATGTCATTGCAGTTTTTCTAATAAAAACCTTTAATTTGAAGTACATATTGAGCTGCTTACATTTTCTTCTGACTCCTAGCGTCCGTCCTGCTGAGGAGGTAGGTAGCGCACCATTAAATAATGTTTTAAAATACTTTTTAAGGCCCATGACTTTGCAGCTCTATCTTTATAATATATATTTTTATATTTTAACTTTTCCACCCTGTATATACAAATTTGGACGAATAGTATTTTGGAATCTGGGGACATCAAAATGAAAAAGTACATTTGTCCCGAGTGTAGGTATGATCATGCTACAGTAAAAGCTACTTCCCTGCAGAGAAATTCACTAAAAAGGCTTGAAATAAGGATTAAGAGTCTACTAGCAGCATCCGCAGTCTTGGAGTCATGCAGAAGTGAACGTGTACAATACGTTACAAACATCTAATTAGACCACCGTGACTTGAATATGCGTTGTTGGAGGTCGTCATGGTCACGCATAAGGACGACTTTATAGTATAAAGGCAGATCGTGAGAGTACAAAAGTACGTAAGGATTATCTTGCCAATTCATATCAAAAAATCTTTGAAGACAACACACATTGTACGTTGGTATGAAACGGTTCAAGCCCCTTCAACTGTCTCTCAATCTAAATCCATTCCTTTAAAAATACAAGTAAAATCAGCTAAATATTTAATTGCTCCAACTTAAATCCACTCACAAATTGCTAATGCCGTTAACAGTGGATCAAATAGTTAAGATTAAGATTTCTTTCAACGGCCGGAGATTGATTAAGGTGAGCTAAAACCTACACTAAAGGAATCCGTACCTATAAAGGGATAGAATAACAAGTATTAGTCATAACAAAAATCCTCAGGACTTGAAACTACGTAAATAAATCAATATTGTTATTTAGTTCAACTAAAATTGTACTTTTCCTCTCTTTACCTAACTAGATCCGTTTTTACAACATGCTGGACCACGACGGCTGAGATATATGACCAATGCTTAAATTGACCAATAAAAATG